CTGAAATGAGTATTTGGTGCCGTATGTTGAATTGTCAACACACAGCCATCAGAGGCAAATCCTGCCGGGCGTGGAACTGGTCGCATGCGCTGACCACTACCTTACTCACGTGTGTCATACTGGTCTTAATAGGTGCTCGCTAACAGGATTTGTCCCAACATGTCGAAATATTGTTAAATTGAGGGTTTTGGTCCTGTTAGATTGGCATACATTGCCGTGCGCTGGGCATAGGTCAGATTCATTAAACTCTACGGCTCACATCACCTCCTATTTATAACCTTTTGTTTCTGATGCGGACAGTCCTAAACCTCTTTGTATTCCTGCGATGAATGTCACTGAATTATTTAGACGAGCAATTACACATGGCTGGATAATTTGCTGGCACGAGATTTATCTTTTGGGTTCGCTGATTAGCAGACGAGATACGCTTTAAAATGAAGCGCACAGGGTGAGGGCATTTACAGGACTTGCACTCATAAATTACCATTGGCAAGCAGAACGACATCGTGTGATGTGAAGATCGATTCTAATACCACCACCCCATCGGCCACAAGAGGGGTTTGTGGCCAAGAAAAATGTGATCGCACGAAAAAATTTCAAATTAACAAAATGTGAACAGGCGGCGCAGAGATAGGGTTAGGGGTTCATATGAGGATCAGCAGGAAGCTCGTGATAGTGGCTGTTGGCTAGTTGGTTAGGGCTAGAGTCAGTGGGAGTGTTAACTATTACATTATTTTACCAGGTAAGGCCCACTGAGCTATATAGCGCTTTTTCAAAAGCGACCTGGCCACAAATGATAGCTCAACGAAGTGGCTTATCATGTGGAAATTTATAGCAGCCAAATACTCTAAACGCATGTTTCTAAATGTGGAGGGAAAAGTCGGAGGACACGGAGAAAATCCACACGACCAAATGGAGAACATCCAAACTCCATATATACAGGGGTCAGGGTCAGGATGAAACCCACGACCTCCTCCATACCAGCCGAGGGAGATAACATCTCGCCACCGTGGGTTAACAGTAGTGGCTGGTTGGCTTGTTACTTATTGTTTGCGTTATGTCCAGATCATGCTAAACGACATGCGTTACAACCTGAAATTACATGAGATATATGCACAGCCCAACTGGTGAAACCCCAAGTGATAGAGATACGATCTGAGTGGCTCGCGTGCTCCACGGCACGGTTGCTCCCCTCCTCCTCATCCAAACGGGTGACCTTTTCAGCTTTGGCCGCTTTTCGTTTCTGGCACTCGCAGCTCCCTAAATCATGCAATGGCAGGGGGATGATCCAATTACACGACTCCTTTACCTCGAAACACAAATGCGGGGCGGGGGGGACTGTACTGAGAGCAACGCGGTTGCTAAGGGTGAGAAATATTTCACCACTGTCGTCAATAATCATGAACGTTTCCTTTTAAGTTGAAACCAATTTTTCTCTTGAGGTCTAATTTTCCGGTGAAAGTTTGCGCCGATGTCTCCAAACTAAATGGAGAAAATTGCCGAGGTCATGTGATGCATTTTAGCCACTAAATTAAAATGTGAACTTGGCCCATGGCCTATAACAATCAAACAGTGTGGGCAGTGACTCTACTCCAAGAGCAGAGAGCTCACAGAAGATTAGCATTTTCTTTCGTTGGTCATAAACAGCATTACACAATGCTGCCGTACAGTATATGGGAAAGAAATACATTGATTATGTATTGTGTTACTTATAGTCTCTGCAACACGATGCTGGTTACGTTGTGTAGCCTATTAAATTATAAATCGACGTACGTGGATAGATTATTCAGTAACATCAGAGCACAATAAAAATGTTGATCACAAGAAACTGCGACCCAACAACAATGAATGGAAATGCAAAGGAAACCAACTATTTGAAACGAATTATCTGGTGATGCTGCTGCATTGGCCATGGTGCACAATCACAATTAAAAAATAAACTCAATATAATCGTCAATAACATTACCTGTTCTGGCAAACATTGTGCAACCAAATATCCACAGTGACATTGAAACAGCAAGGGAGTTTACACGTCTTTTGTTGAATGACAACCACCTACCCATCAACCAAGACCTCAACAATGTACCTGGCTGCCAACTTAAGTCCCAAATCCCCCTTCTGGGATCACACTGCAGTCACCATCCTAGAATCTCACCCATAGCCGGAAAAATCGCTGCTTCTGTTGTGCGAACATCGTGGAACAATGTGGACGTCCAGAATAAGCACCTCCTCATTCGAGACCCAGACATTCCTCCTCGAAGACACCAGTGGAGCCATTAACCGCATCATGACATCTACAGGCCGGTGCGCACGTCTCCTTCATGAATGACAAGCCACAGTGGTGAGATTGTAGCCACGCAACCCAAACTCTGGACTACAACCACAAAGTCAACCACTGTGGTCTGTGTTCCTTCAATGGAGGCACAGCAAAAGGACACGGACGCTCTCCTAAATCCCTCACGTGGCTAACAGACCTTGACATTTGCGTTGAGCTCCTAAACATATTTCTTGCATACACGAGAACTGAATAGAACTGCCTTCAAATCAAACAATATATATGGGCGATATTTTATGCAATGGTCCTTGTTCATAGCACATGCTGCGGGTCGTGTTATTTAACAAACATATGAAGACATTTTCACATTTGTAAATAATGGTTAAACCTACTGCATCATTAGTGGGAGACTTGAATGCAAACTGAGGGAAGGGGAGCAGAGATGAGAGGATCGGTGCTCAGTGTGGCGCGGGAGAGATAGAGGATATGTCAGAATTTGCAGTCAGCAGGGATGTGAAGACAATCCTTAGCACTTTATCCAAAAAATTGTCCAGATAAGGAACGTGGAGGAGAAAAAATTGAGACATTAGAAACAAAGATTAGCTTGCTTTTATGGAAAAACACCAGAATGTCAGCAATGCCTCTGCTTGGCACCTTTCTTTTTTAATGAAGGTGCCAAGCAGACAATTCATGAATGCGTGTTCATTATACAAGTGGGAGGTAACTGGAGCATTCGGAGAAAATTAAAAACACGGACGCGAGGGGGCAACGCTCTATCCCCGTACAGAGCGAATAGATAGCGATTAGTCCACTTGCTCTACTGCTTTCTCCTGGCGAGCCAGGGTATAGCACACGGACGCCCACAGGAAGGGTGTTTCACACCAACCCTTTCTGACTCCACAGTGTTGGATGACAGGCCACGTGCATAGCGACCACCGCCCGGCTAATTCAAGATAAGAAGCGATTGCACGATGGTGGTGAGACGCAGGTCACGCTCGCAAAAATACCCTAGAGAATGCAAGTTAATTACGGTACAGGCAAGAACAAGGCAATTAACATCAAACAAATCTAGTCCAGGAGATGGGAGAATTCAGAAAACGACTCCAAGCAACGCATTCAAATCCCTCGAGAAGCAGAAATGATCAAATGGATGTCACCACTCTCACGATAAAGCAGGCGATTGTAACGGACGCTGCATAGAAGGTAGGAAATGCGCGCAGATAAGTTTCTCGCTCTAAACCACAGAAGGAGTGGACTTCAAACGGGGGAAACGCACGAGGAGGGAAACGCGAAATAGTGAGGGTGTACGTGACAGCAGGAAGTTGACAACGATCGGAGGATAAAGCGGCAAAGAGGAAGTTGATGCTCTTAGGTTTTTTTCGGTAAAGTCACGTAGGTACCGAAAAAAACCTAAGAGTATGAATCCTTGCAGTCACGAAAGCTTCAAATCTAGAAGGAAGTTGATGGTCGGTAAACCACGAATGAGAGCCTTGAGACAGCAAGATGTGTTGACATCGATGTTGGCCCCTCTCACATTGGAGCGTCGTGGTTTCGGTTCCGATGTATTTTACACCAAAACTAAACGCCGACCCCGCCGCCGCCCGTGTGAAGTTCCTTGATTAAAAGAAAGTCTGCTCCTGACGGCTCCATTGTAGAGTGTGGAGGGTGGAAGTGAATTTCATGGTAGGCGGCCCTTTGCTGATGCTTCACTGTTGGCCCAACAGCCATGCCGTTTAGATTTGCTATTTTACTGTGGTTGACCATGTTATTTGAAAATAGATATTTTGCGTTGAATATTTAACATTGCTTTCGTATAAATACAAAAATCTGTCAAAATATAAAATAGGCGACGTTTCGGACAATGTCCCTTTGCATCACTGTATATTGTCAATTTTAGAACATCGAAAATGGAGAAAAACATCGCTTATTTAATTCCAAACTTCTAGTGAATATCGATGCTTTCATTCAAACCGCGGAGTGTTCGACACCACCGACGTTGTGCTAATCGATGCCTCTTCGTCCTTGGCTGAGTGACGGTGGCACTGGAGCGGGCCCGCGAGGGCGCGACCCTCCGCGGAGATGGAGCGGTGGAATCAGGTCGCGTGCCATCGCAGCAACCGTGTGGCGACGTGACGATGTGGAAGAGGCCATCTATCGGCCAGCAGCGGGTCGGTCGCGGCTGCTAAGTTTAGCGTGGCGGCCACGACACAGAGCGAGCGGGGCCACGACACAGAGCGAGCGGGGCCACGCGTGCGGCGCACGGGGCCGACCAACCCCGCCCCGTCCCGTCGCGGACCGCCCCGGACTGACCCCGACACTCAACCAGCCCCCCCCCCCCTCATCATTATCCAGTGGGCCCCCCTCACCTAGTCAGCTAAACACATTTTTTGTTTTATTTGTAGGGTTTTAAAGTGATTTGTTTATCCACAATTTGCACTCATGTTGTGCTTTTTTATTATTTGTTGTAACGTTTCGACCAGCCTCTACTGAAACCTATGTTAAAAAGAGCTTTATAGCTCGTCGGATTCCTCCAGGATAAATACATCATCATCACGATTCCTCCTCCCTGCTGGTCCAAGCCCCACAGCCCCACGCGCGGAAATTGCCGAACACCCTCGAGTCCGCTCGGCGGGAGCGCTGCCGGAAATCAACGAACGCCTTCGGGCCGACTCGGCGCGTGACACCCGAGCATTTCCGAACCGCTTGTCGCGAGCGCGACGTTACTCGGCGGGCGCGCGGCCGGAGATTAACGAACGTTGCCGAACCGCCCTTTCGGGAGAGCAAGGTGATTGTAAAGCGGAGATTGGCAGCCGAACGCAATCGCAAGGAATATCGGCGAGCTCCTCCGGAAATTGCCGAACGCCTTCGTCTTCAACCAGCCGAAGAGTTTACGGAGATTGCCGAACGTCTTTCGGGTGTTGCTCGGCGAGCTCCTCCGGAAATTTCCGAACGCCTTCGTGTTAAACCCGCCGAGCGTTCGCGGAGATTGCCGAAGCCTTTCGGGTGCAGCTCGGCCGTCTCTTACGGAAATTACCGAACGCCTTCGTGTGAAACCCGCCGAGCGTTGACGGACATTGCCGAACGCCTTTCGGGTGCAGCTCGGCCATTTCCTCCGGAAATTGCCGAACGCCTTCGTGATAATTTCGGCGGAGATTGCCGAAGCGGCTCGTGTTGACGGAACTTGCCGACGAGGAGCGGCCACGAGCTGGGGGCTGCTGCTGCTGCTGCTGGGAGACCGCGCGAGGTAGGGGAATGAATGGAGGAGGAGGGGGGGGAGACGGACGAGGTGAGGCGCACCTCGTCCGCGTGTTCTCAACGTGCGTGTTCACCTCACCCCGTGGGTAGTTGACGAGTGGAAGCAACACATAGCCACGTCGGGGAGTGACAGAGCAACGCTGTCTGCGTGTGACGGTCTGCACGTAGGTCGACTCGGACGTTAAAGCGAGTACCGTACCAGGCGCGGAGTGTATTAAACACCGTCGCTGGGGGGAGGAGAGACAAAGGCGGCCGGGCGTAGTTCTGGTTTCGAGCTCTGTGTACCGTTCCGGCCTTTACCGGTGCTGCTACTTGTGAACGGCACTTGCCCCGGCAGCCTGTGAGAGGCTACACGGGGGAGCTTTGTGCAACTTGGTACGCGTCGCGAGCTGCGCGTCCGCCTGCTCAGTGCGGAGTCCGTGTGTGTGTGTCTGTGTGTGTGTGTCTGTGTGTGTGTGTCTGTGTGTGTGTGTCTGTGTGTGTGTCTGTGTGTGTGTGTGTCTGTGTGTGTGTCTGTGTTTGTGTCTGTGTTGTGTCTGTGTGTATGAATGGTGTGTGTGTCTGTCTGTGTGTCTGTGTGTCTGTCTTTGTGTGTGTGTCTGTGTGTGTGTCCGTGTCTATGGATGGTGTCTGTGTGTGCGCGTCTTTGTCTATGTGTGTTTATTTATAAGTATGTGAGGAGCGGTGGCGCAGTGCTTAGCGCTGCACTGATCGGAGCCCGGCGAAGGGACTTCCATTCCCGCTCACGGCCAAGAACGGTGACGAATATCTAATACCGGTCCTGGTTGTGTAAACATCAACACTGGGGAGACAAAGGCGGCCGGGCGTCGTGTTGCCCACCCACTCGCTAACCACTTGCCCCAACGTGCTAGAGGCTACACGGGACACCTTTGTCTCTACACATGGCTCTGTGTATTTAATTCGGTATGTGTGCTCGAATCTCGTCGGCGGTGAGGAGCGGTGGCGCAGTGGTTAGCGCAACGCAGTCACCCTCCCGAGTTCAGTTCCCGGTCACGGCGGACACCCGCAGCGAGTGACGGGAACCCGTGGTTCGTTAATCACCGGGGAGACAAAGGCGGCTGGTTCGGGCTGCTTTGCCACCCACCCCCTCCGTGTGCCGTGCCGGCCTTCGTGGGTTGTCGCTCACGGCACTTGCCCCACCAGACTGTGGAAGCTACACAGGGGACCTTTGCCGATATACTCGTCTAAGTTTAACATGAACATGTGTATGGAGTCTGTGTGGTCCTTATGTGACTACATAGTCTGTGCGCTGTCTGTTGTGTATCTGAACTCTATATGCGCGTGCGTGTGTAAGTATATCGTGTTGTACCATGTTCTGTGTGCATGCTGTATTTGAGTGAGTCTATGTATGGGAATGTGAGTCATGTGTGCATGCATCTGTGTGCTGCCCTATGGCCACGTGTGTGTGTGTGTGTGCGGGGTATGTGTATCTGCCGTATGTGAGCGCCTGCGAGCGTGTGTTGCTATGTCGCTACATAGGGCGTGGGTGACAGCTGCCCTTGCGAACAATGTGGTCATTACATGCGTGTCGGTTCGCCGCGACATGCTGGGGAGAACCCTGACGAGACGTGGCTCTCTCTACGACATCCATCCCATTGACCGCCGTGGGGAGGGAAGTGGAGCCTGGCCAGGTGGTCGAGACTAGCGACGGAGTGGCAGCCAAAGGTGGAGACCCTCCCGAGGGGACGCACGGCCGCCGTGGGAGACGGAGCGACGGAATCCACGTGCGGGGCCCCTGCGGATCGCTGTGAGCGATGGCGACGTCTCGTTGGAGGAGGCTTTCGTCCCACACTGGGGGTGGATGGTGGCTGCTGCTGCTGACGACGACGACGTTGGCTTGAAACGTCTGTGGTTGGGGTCGGGCAGAAGGAAGGAAGCGATGGGCCTTGGTGAGCTCTTGCCCCGAGTGTGGCCTGTACGCTCTGGGGACGCTGGTGGTGTGGTCGGTGCACTGCCACCTGACTCCTGCCTGCGGTGTCAAATTCACAGCTGGCGATTTAAATAAAAATTGTTCCGTGCCTCCCCTAGGTCTGCTCGGCCTAAAATGAGTAGGGTGTACAGTGCAATAAATTAGTTTCACATTAACCAGCAATTTTAATACACTTGGTCTGTTGCCTCCCCTAGGTCCATTCGGCCTAAATTTAGTACGGTTCAGTATAGTGCGGCGATGACTGTGAGCTGGGAGTGAGACAAAGACGGGTAGCAAACGAGTAAGTATCAGGACACCCCAGTGTTTACTTGCAAGTATTATGACCCGTAAGTGCTGTTAGCGAGCACCTATTAATACATAGATCTGAACGTATTGCCCGATTTTGTGTGCTGTCCGTGTGCACGAGTGTGTGTGTGTATTCAAGTTAAATTTGTTTTTCTAACTATTGTATGGTAGGGCACTGCAATACCATCCTGGCGACCTCCGATTCCCATTCATCAAAATTGGTCCTGAGCCTTGCTTAGGTTGACTAAGCCCTCAATGAGTACCTGGCATGGTGCGTAAACATCATCAATGGTGAGACAAATGCGTTCGGGCGTGGTGGTGACCACATCACACCCTCGTGCGCCATGCCGGCTTTAAAAGGTGCCTGCTTAACGGAATTTGCACCAACAGTTTGTAGGCTTTAGGTGAGTCTTGTAATTGGTGTGCATGAAACGTGGCTGTGTTGTTGGCATGTGTGAATACTACGCAGTTGTGTGTATGGCAATGTGGCAGTTCTCCCTTGGCACGGTGCGATCTGATCAATTAATACATGCGTGGCCTAGATTCAGTCACGTGGTGGCCTAATAATCTTGAATGGGAATCTGGTTTAACGACTCATTGCCAGTCTGCCTACATATATAGACACCGACCTACCCATCTGCCCACCTAGTCCTCTCTTACCTACTTGCCCACCTACCTATCTGCTTGCCCTAACCACGTACCAACCAACTAACCAACTCGCTTACCTACACGCGTGCAAATGGTTACTCACTCACCTACTTGCCTACTCACCAATCTACCTACCCGGCCATATAGACACTTATTTAACCAAATAACCATCTAGCTACCCACCTGCTTGTCTGCCTAGCCAGTTGCCAGCCTGCCTACCCACTCACCTCCCTCGCTTCTCACACATCTGCATACCTAGGCAGGTACCCCAGTAGGTGCAATGACTGCCATCAGACTATTTGAGACTATTTGAGTGCTAAAATACAGGTTCAGGGGTCAACTCAGCCCTTCATCTCTTCTGTGGTGCATACATTGAGTACTGCCATGTGGGAAGTCATGAGTAGTTTTTTGATAACTTGGCTCTGTCTTGTGAATGAGGAATTTCCACCGCTGGCTGTTGTCTGTAAAGGTGAGATGAGCTCTCGCACTTGCTGGGTTTGGCAGAGTGAATCCACTTGGACTTTCTTTGTCTAGTTATCCAGTTGAAAGCCTATTTCATATTTTATGATTGGGCTGTCTCTTGGCCTACTTGTCAGGAGCATCAGGCACACGGCTTGTAATGCAAATTGACGGGCAAAGCCCTGCAACCCGCTGCATCTGCCGATGCTTGGCAGCCCCAGGGAAAAGGAAGAGGCAGGAAGTGTTCCATGCCGGAGCGGAAGGCCAAAGGGTGTTCACCCATGCACATCGCAAACAACTAGAGGTGGCACAGGGGCGGATATTGAATTTGGGTGGGAGGAGGGGCAGGTGTAGCAGGGACAGAATTAGATTGCCGAAGGCTGGTAACCCCCTGCAGCAATCCACAACTCGCGTGGCGTGGCCGATGATGCCGATGGCATCACAAAGCCTCGCCCATCACCTCCGTCCTATGTTACACGTGAGAAAAGAGGGGGGGGGGGGACTTTTTCTCCCCACCTCTTGTGTTATCAGATTTAAGTAGAGCATTGGGAGACAATAGTTGGTAGAGTAATGGATTACAACCCGGCTCTGATGGGTGCGGCAGACCTGCCAGACTCAAGTCTGTATGCCCGGTTGAGTGACCAAGCAAACGTATCCTGATGGGTTCGTGTTTGGTGAGAGCAGAGACTCACCGGGACCGTGTTTGGTGTGAGCGGAGACTCATTGTGGTTGTGTTTGGTGAGAGCGGAGTCTCACCGTGGTTGTGTTTGGTGAGAGCAGAGACTCACCGGGACCGTGTTTGGTGTGAGCGGAGACTCACCGTGGTTGTGTTTGGTGAGAGCGGAGTCTCACCGTGGTTGTATTTGGTGAGAGCGGAGACTCACCGTGGTTGTGTTTGAGAGCGGAGACTCACCGTGGACCGTGTTTGGTAGCGGAGACTCACCGTGGTTGTAAATTCGGGGCGCTTGCCGGGGCCACTGTAATGGGTGACGATGCACGGCCGAGTCTGGGAGCGGATTGCACGGCGTGGGGATTTATCAGCGTGTTTGGTCCCCTCATTGACAATCTCGCCTGAAATGGCATCTCATAACGCTGAGGAACCACAGACAAGTGGAAAGGCAGCCATGCGGTGAGAGGGAACCAACAATAGCCCATGCTCTGCAATCCTCTACATTTTGAGATATTTAAGCCACTTAAATCAGGTTCAGCCGATGGTGCAGCATGTGACTTGGAGAACCGTCGACGCGCGCAGCGCAAGCGCCGAGTCGACGTTACTCCGCGAATCTCTGCATCGTCGCTGCGCCAACGCCTCGCCCTGTCGGCCAGTCCCAGACGCTGCGGCTTAGGCAGCTCAATGCGATCATCCCACGGCTCGCCAGTGCTGCTCTTGATTGTCGCGATCTGCAAACCCGACTGGGCTCCCGACGCAATTCAATTTGATTCACCACAACAGCCGCGGCAATACTTTCCGTGCCGGCCGAAACGAAGCGGAGCATGTGAAGGGTTCGCGTGACGGCTTCTAGACAAGAGTCCGGCGACGTCTGTGTGTGGCGAGCGAGACCTGGGCTGTGGGATAAAACGGGGACGCACGCGAGTGATGCTGATTGCGTTGGGTCGTGAAAAATTGTAACCTGGAGGTAGAAGTGAGTAATGTCCACGGCTCACGTCAGTGGCTAGCCATATCGGAAGCTGTCCTTGGGCACTCCTCTTCACCAACCCGAGCTGACCAGCGTGGTGAAGTATGGTCAAACAAGCCTCATGACCAACAATGGTTTGGAAAGTCCTGCATCCAACAGTAAACTGACAAACGGCAGTCGGTTGTTTTTAAGCAATGTCAAGATTAAAGTCGTAATTTGGATTTCTAGAGGCTGCATGTTAAAATAGGTAATGTATATCGCATGATATGAAGCACTCGCATGCGTAATGTTCAAGCAAGCAAACTACGTTGAAACGTAGAGATGCAAGTTAAACATATTATAAAATAGCAATCGGCTAAGAGTAAGATTAAAACAATCTGCATTTGCGTAACAAATACAAGGTCGAGAGGTCACCGCGGCCAGCGCGTGTCTGCCATTGCTTCCTTCCTCCCGCTGGAGTTCCTGCAGCTGTTGCATCGCCGACACCTGACCCCCAGGTCCAGCCCGAGTCTCATTACACCGGCCATCTGGCTCGGTGTCCTCCCCACCTCAAGCAGCTCCGCACGCTCGTCGAGACTCGTTAACCATCGCCGCCTGGCTCCGTGCCTTCCCCACGGTGGCCAAGCTCTGGGTGTTGCCCGCATGCCGCCGTCGCTAACTAGGGCAGCACAGTTACCAGGGTTACGGAACGACATTGATGATGTTGCGTGCGGTGCGTGTGGATGATGCTTCAAGGTCAACAAAGCGAGAGGAAGTTGAGAAACTAAAAAATTTTTTTTTAGCAAATTGATTGCACGCTGACCAGGGAAGATCGTGGCTGTTGAATAATTAAATAAAGAAGGAGACTGTTTTTGGCCGCAAAAATTTAATGACGTTCAAGTCCATGCACCACTGCTAGACGAGTGGTGTCGGAGACGTGGCCCCATCTCTATGCCGGCTCCCAGTCCGATCCACAATCAATATAAAAGTTGCGCAATCTCTCCATGGACTTTCCACTGTCCATCTTTCCCCTCCTGTCTCGCACTACCTCCACTCCACACACTCTCCTACCTCTCCACTCTCATCGCACTCCACTCTCATCGCACTCCACTCGTCAACGCACTCTCTGCTCCAGCATCCAAGGCTTTCTATCAAAGCCCTCGGTCGACCGTCATTCATTGGGAGGCCACTCATTCTCCTCTGCTGCTCCCGGGATCTGTAACTTTCTTCTTGCAGCCCTCCGTGCTGTTGACTCCCTCCTCGAGACCTCCTCGGTCACACTCTTCATCCAAGGGGGTGCACCTGCCACTGTCCCCCGGCTGCTTTTGTGTCCCCTCGTCCTGCGCCGAGTCTGGACGTGCGCCTGCCGATGTATGTATGTATGTTGAACTTTAGCACCATACATAGCCAACCGTGCTAACTGGACGTGCGGAGGAAGGACAAAAAACGAAACTCAACTACAAGCAGTTCATCTGCGTTGCGGTGTTTTCAAGGCAAAGCGTGGCCCGTTTTCGGCACAAGTTGCTTCCCGATCGATAGTGGTTTGTGCGACCCCTGCGGCCACCAGAGGAGCCAATAATAACCACGGGGGCAAATTCACATCGATCGTGCAATTAAACAGTGAACCCCAAACCGTGACGATTTCCTGGGACTGCCGATTCGTGACTGGCCTAGCTCCTGCGCAGTGCGGTGTTGGCCTGCTGCTCGATTCACGCTGGCAAGTGCGGTCAATTATGGGCAAACAACCCCATCTTTATTATTATTATTCCGCTTGCTTTCCCAGGAAAGTCTCGCAGAGTCTTAGCATTCTTTTTCAGGAGGGTCCTGCCAAGTTTTTGCAGCTGAGGGCGCTGCTGCTGCTGTGTGTGATCCCAATTGAGATCTTTGCAGGTAAGTTTTCAGCATTGGCACGTTTGGCCGCTTCCGGTGAGATTGTGTTTGGCCGCTCCCGGTGAGATTGTGTTTTGTTTTAGTTATGAGAGGAAACCGGAGAACCTGGAGGCAACGCCTGCAGAACGTCGGGAGAGAACCACACAAACCTCACGTGGAAAGGTGCAGCCCAGTCGGGAATTCAACTCTTTTTGCGCGGAGGCACAAATGTCACCATTGTGCTGCCAACCCTGCCGCTCGAATGACTGATGGTGGCGTGGGAATGCCCTCGTCCGGCAGTGGATCGAGACGGGGCTGGGACGTAGAGCTGTGGCTCTCCGAGGTGCCACAGGTAGCCCACGCACGCCCCCCGTCCGTGTGGGAGATGTTGGCAGGCGGAGGGGAGTTGACCGATACCGCCACCCGTGGGGGGATCCCGGGCCCGTCGATCTCCGCCAGCGGGTTGAGCTGCAGAAGCGCGGGGAGGCAAGGGGAGAGAGAGGATGTGCGGCCGCCACGAGGGTTGATGGGCGGGGGGGGAGACGGGGAGGCACGGGGAGAGGATGTGTGGCCGCGACGAGGGTTGATAGGGGAGGAGAGACGAGGGGGAGAGACGGTAGGAGGAGTGCTGCAGCAGAGTGGTACGAGCGATGGGATCGCTGCTTGAATGCAGTATCGCTCCGCACGCTGGAGCCACAGCCACCACAGGCACCACCATCCCAACCACGATCTAACCACCCTCCACCACCAACCACAACCACTCGATACCACCATCCACAACCCACCCATCCCACATCCTACACAACCACCGCCACCCACCAACCCTGCCACCACTACGACCAACCATCCACTCTCACGACCCACAACCAACAACCGCTCCCCGCGCTGCCGCAGCAAACATAGCGACGAGGTTGATGACGAGGGGGATTTGCAGTTCCTGGAAGGATGATGTTGGCCGGCACACGTGCCAGCTCTCCTCCCTTCTGGCAGAGTTGCGCGGTGGTGAAATAAACCTGCTGCCCCTGCCCCCATCTGGCTGTGGCGTCAATCGGGGCAGCCGGCCAGCGGAGAGGAGCCGGCCAGCTTGACGCGGCCTGCCCTGGCTTCAGCGGATTTGTGTGAAGTTGTGCAACGTAAAATCGCAGTTTGGATAATTATAATTGAGGCGGCTGCTCGGCCGGTAACCAAACCCGTGACTCGCGTTTTCCTGAGCGGCTCAAGACCTCCTCCCCTCCCTAATACCCCCCACGGCCCCTCCCCGAACGCCGCCACCACCGCCGTGTAAGCAGGTCGTGCGTTGTCATCTCGCTGCGTCTAAACAACGCCCCCCCCCCGCCGCTGGAGAAGGAGGAGGAGAAACGATCGCCCAGTCATTCCGCGCGTGCTCATTTACGTCAGTTGCTGCGGGAACGAGAGGACACATTTGTTGGGTTTGTGGAAATATTCCTCCTGTTTTGGGGCTTTTTCCGAGTCGGTTCGTTGAGCCTGTTGCTGCCGTTGCTAAGGCAACGTGCCTGTGTCGTAGTTTGGTCGAGTTGGCAGTGAGGCTCTGATGGGGGGAACGGGGGCGTCGGTGTGGGTGGGTTACCGGTGTTGGTGGTCGCTGTCGTGCGAAGGCTACGGGGGAGAAATGCGGGAAGAGGCTGCGCAACGCTGCCCACACCGCCTATTGTACTGGTAGCTTGCGCACTGTGCTTCCCCCCCCCCCACCCATTGCAAGCGCTGTCCAGGCTAAAACCTGCTTAGCTTCTGTGGTCTAACAGTACCGGGCGAACGTCATGGTGATGTGCGTCGCACGCTGATGATGTGATCCATCTCCACGTATGCCTCTCTCTCCAGAGAGAGAGAGTGCCACAGGCCCCCGACCTTCAGAGTTTGAGATAACGGAGCCGTGTGCGCTTAGCGGAGACCTGCAAGGGCTGATGCCGTCACTGTTCCTCCGCTCTGCTGACTTGGTGACTACCTCGGTGGAGGGATTTATTTTTGCGGTGGGTGGAACTCCCTTGCACTCTCTCGCTGCAAGTACGATCATCTTCTTTGGAATTAAACTAATTTCTTTGTGGCCGTGGTGGTGACGATAATTTTTATCACGCGGTGTCCAGTAAATGAGTGAATTCTACCGCGGATTTTGGGTGAAGGGTGTTCATTCAATCGGGCCAGGGCAGACTTGGTGGGCGATGAGGGTTTTGATGATGTCGTCCGTGTCGCCCCAAGGTGCCTCCTTGCCCAGTCGATTATCCAGGCGGTGCTCGTTACCGTTACCGCCTCATGAGCCAGTGGTGGAAATTCCACATTACCATGGTGGGGCTGAGGACTATTTTTTTCCCTGCCCTTCATATTAAAATAAAGTCTTCATTAATGTGATCTGTGCCATTGGTGTCGCGTAAAGAGAAATGTTCACTTGGAACTTGCAGAAGTGGCTATCACGGTGGAATTTTACCAAATTTAGTTTTAGAACCAGATTTAATATTTTTTGTGTGTGTGCAGTCATTGGTGATTGGGCTGAGACAATCAACTATCCGTACTTGAGAACCCAGTTTTAACCACAGGCGCCATGGTGGCTGCCTCGTCTGGCATGCAGGAGGTTGTGGGTTCGAACCCTGACGCCTTGATATTTGCAGTTTGAATGGCTCTTTCTCTCCCATGGAGCTATATAGCTCCGTGGGCCTTACCTGGTAAAAAAAAAAAATTGAGTTTTTAGATTCGTAGTTTCGGACTCGGGCTCACGGAATTGCCCGCTCGGCACGCCTGACCCCTGAGCCCCATCCGTGACCCTCGGCAAAGAACGACCCCAATAGCCTACACGAGCTGTACTTCTCCCGAGGCGGTGCGGCTGCCCCCGCCGCCGTGGTGTGAACGTGTTCGAAGTGTGCCGTCTATAATAAGGGTGTTGGGTTCCGGGTCCTGCAAATGGAAATTAAACACCTGAGGAAGTTGGGAATTGAGTGAAAGATTACGGAATAACCGATAGTTGCACATAAGACCCCCTGGAAATGCTGGATTAATAACGTCCGACAGTGACAGATTCTGCTCCAACGCAGAATTTTGAAATCACTCTTCGAATAAATTATCATTTTTGTTAAAATAGCCCTGTGCCGGTGATAATTATTAGTGACAAAATACAGTGAGTTTTTTTCATTTTTAGGTTATTTTAGAAATATTTTAATTGTACTACTTAAAAAAATAACTTTGGCTGGCTGGAGGTAGACTTGTGTTCAAAGTTGGCAAAACATTTTTTGTATCACGTCGTGAAGTGTTACAATGTATGATTAAATACACTAGTAGGCGACGGATCGTGCGATCAAATTCCCAGTCAGCAGGGGTTATCACTTCGTGACCGTTCAGCTTCAAGACAACCATTTATTTCCCTGAGCAAATTGTGAATCTACAGCGAACTCCTTCAATCAACACGTTACCTCTGCTTGGTGTTAGCGCTGTCAGTCCTACGGCGCAAGGCGATCGTCATGGAGGAAGGCACCGCTGTGTTTCACAGTAGGGGGGCACCACCGCCTCTCGCTGTGTGCGTGCGCGCGCTGGCTTGTTTCATTCCGCGGGAACTCGGCGCAGCATTTCTTGGCGTACACATGGGAAACTTGAGTGACAATTTGAGACCGATAATGGGGGGTGATGGAGTGATTGGCGCCTTGCGCTATGAACCTGCCGACCCGAGTTCCATTCCCGGCCGTGAGCTTACAACAACATTGTACAACAACGATTGTTACACAACAACGATTGTTACACAACATTGCTGAGGACGATGGAGATGAGGGCCTCCCCCTGCAGGGCACCGCGGAGCTGCGGCCGCCGCCGCTCAGCCTGCGGAGGAATCCTCGGCGCCCAACCGAGCGTGCGCAGGTAGCCCCGCAAGTAGCCCCAACGGTGGACGAACGTGCGACTCGGCCTTTCCCTCTGTGACCCCCCCCCCCCCCCCCCCCCCCCCGCTAGGAGGAAGGTGGTAAAGGATGGGCGACTACTATCAGGTGCTGGGCATCCAGCCCACATCCTCGCAGGAGGAAATCAAGAAAGCGTGAGTAGAAGGGGAGGGAGGGGGGTTGCCGCAGTCCTTCCGGGTGAATTCTTCCTCTCGTGGCAATGTCGATAACGCAGTTTGGATAAAGATGGGGGCGGTAAAGTTACTGGCGAAATTCCAAGGTGAATTGGCGTGAGCGGTCGCGTTTCGGGAGAAGCGCGCCCTCCGTGTGTACGGTGGCTCCACAGGATGGCTTCCACCCCCCCCCCCCCCCACCGACGCTGGAGAAAAAAAACTCTTGCTAGCAACATTCATACACAGGGGATATTTGTCATGTGTGTGTGTGTGTGACGACAAATGATTAAGGTAACACCTGCGTCTGTCCCACGGGCACCTGCCAGGAAGCCATCGCTGCTGCACGTAGCCTCGCCGTGCACCTAGCCTGGCACAAGCACCATGACAACGTCACGATCAGTTATTATTGGACAACAGCTGTTGCATATATGTGTTGTGTGCATATGTGTAGTTATAAATAGTTTATATCTGATGGAGCGATGCACCGAGGGTCCCATCTACCCCAAGGACATGATGGCCCCATCAGCAGGGCCTCCTACAATATTTACTTTCCGCTCGATGCGATCTCAGTCTACGACAAACGTGTCCACGCAGAAGTGCATTCGTGCTGTCCGCAGACCGTCCTTTGTAACACGTGCGGCTCTCGCACGCCGGTGTGTTGCTGCGGCGGGGCCACGATGGGAGCCGCAGTGCGGTTATAAGGAGAGCGAGGGGCCCCTTGGAGATGTGGACATTGCAGCAGCTCCACGTCAACAAGGAGCAATTGCACGAGCGCCTTGTCTTTTCTCAACGCTGTGTGCCGCGACAGCATCCCAATCTCAAACTCGGCCAAGCCTGGGTTGAGTGGTTCGTGCAGTGCCTAGCTGCAGGGACACCATGCGCAAATGCAAAGTGTTTTAAGCTGGGGCTGTGAGGTGGCGCTACGGCGAGGGTTTCTTGAATCTGTCTGTGCAGAATTCTTGAGTGTTGCCCCCTCCCCCCCCCACTCCCTTGTGTGTTTGTTGGGTATTGGCTACATAATCGGGTTTTATCCCACACGAAGACAACCTCCCATTATACGAGATGGCCCAGCATCCTCAATGCAGGACCCTCCCCAAGTGCTCGTTGAGACTGCCACGGCGATGGGTTCGTTGTCACGTTTCAAGACCAAAGCGAGCCCCATCCTGGCCTCTTGCTTCCGCGTAAATCCCTTGGACCGCCGCGATCAACCGTCGCCCTGGGACGTCGTCGCACGGCCGATGCGCTCGTCTCCCGCACAGGTGGAAGATAAAAGACTGCTCCGACTGCGCAGCGGAACAAACGATGGAGCGCGCAGTCCACCGCCACCTGCCCATGAAGCCCGCTGAACGGCCGAGGCCTCAAAGCAGTCTGACAGCTCGCAGCCTGCATCGCTGAATGGCTACAGAACCTGGGGTCTGAGTACAGAACAATGGTGTGAATCCTCCCAGGGTTGTTGACGGTTATTATTATGAGGTTGGTTTTGATTCCTTTGGCAAAAACATTGGCGGTGGTGATGGTGACGACGATGGTATCGATGGCTACAGTGATGATGATGATGACGAGCTGATCCTGTGCAGGTACCGCAGACTGGCGCTCAAATGGCACCCGGACAAAAACCCCGAGAGCAAGGAGATGGCTGAGCGCAAGTTCAAGGAGATCGCGGAGGCGTACGACGTGCTCTCTGATAGTGAGTGACTGTGTGACGTGCTGTCCGATCGTGCGACGGTGCGCGACCGTGGCTCTGGCACTCTCGCTCTCACCGTCTCCTGTGCGTTGAACGAGTGAGCCACTCCGGATTAAACTCGCTCGTTTGGAGCGAGGTGAGGTGCGTGCGATTGGGACAGCCGTCACTCGACTGGCCGGTGCGGACTCTCCGGGTGTACCGGCTGCTGCCGAGTAGCCATGTGGCATGCACTGGTTCCCGTCCATCCAGTGGGGGGAGCGTCACGATTCGCGGTGACGATTCGATTGTAGCCTCGATTGCTTTCGTTTTTGACTCTGTTTAACCGTCGTGTCATTTGTTTTACCTGTCGAGTCTCGTGTGGGCAGTTCTGCTCGCAGCACAAGAGCACAACGCGGTTTGGGTGTCTGTAGCGGTGTCTGCGCACGAGCACTCGTCAAGACGCTGTGCAGACCGTGGGTATGCTCGTTCTGTGGAGGAGCAAGGGCGGGGAGGAGGTCACGAGCCGACCAGCACGGATGCGTGGGGGAGAGGGGACATCGGTTGAAAATTAGCGACCTCCCACCTTTCGGCAAGGACTTCCCATGCCCCACATTGGAGGTTGATTGGATAATTTGTTAGAAGCTTGGAGCGGAGAGGTACAGATGAGATTGTACAAACCAGACTCAAAAAAACAAATCTAAAAACCACCAACAGGATGGTAAAACCAAGACGACAAAATGAGAGTCCTCTCTCGAATTGGATCGCAACCCAGAGTCACGAGACTCGGGTCCCAGGTGAGGTCGGGCGTCAGTGCCACCCCCGCGGGGGGAACGGATCTTTGGCGATGATCAGCCCTCCTGTCGCCCACCCATCACACCCCCCTCCCTTTTCCTCCCGCAGAATCCAAGCGAGAAGCGTTCGACAGGGGTGGCAAAGAGGGCGTGAAGAACTCGACGGGTGAGTGGTGGAGGGGCCCAGGCAGGAGGGGTGCTCCATTCGCCATTCAATTCCTCGTGCCAGGGCCATGCCAACCGCGCCAACGCGCCTCCCCTGACCCCGATCCAAATTCTGGAGCGGCTCGTACGGTCACTTGGCCAGGTCCGTACAGTACAAGTTTCGCTCACAAGTCGACTGTCTGGTGGTCCGGTAGCCTGCTAACCTTTGGCAGTGACCTGGTGACCCTATGATCTAAGATCATGACCTAATGACGTGGTAATCGTATAACCCGCTGGTGACCAGGTGACCCCACGACCCATTGTTTACGGCAGGCTGGGCCGATCCGCGACTTTTGACCCTGCCACTCTGTAAAGTGTAACCTCGCGACCCGTACCCTGGCGGCCCCGTGACCCGGTGGCTACCTGGGGTCCCGCGCCTTGTGTGACCTGGCTGCGAACCAAGTTCACCCGGTGGCGACCCCGGTCATCGCTCCCTGACCCGATTTGTTTCCCCCAGGCCGTGCTGGCGGAGGAGCGGGAGGCCGGGCACGTCCGAGTCGCGGAGGTCGCGACTTCGCCGACTTTGGTGATTTTGGCGACTTTGGAGAGTTCACCTTCACGAGGGCGGAGGAGATCTTCCGCGAGTTCTTCGGGGGGCGCGACCCGTTTGCGGACTTCTTTGGCGAGCCCTCGTGCTTCCCCCGGGGCCACCTCCTGCCCAAAGGTGCCCCCACCACACCACACCCCGCCGTCATACGCTTCCTCCACCGAGCGATTTGGCGATTGTTTTATTGAACGGTGAAGAGTAGACGACCTTCGAGTGTGTGTGTGAGTGTTGTTGTGACCTGCAGTGTGGTGGTGAACAGCGTGGCAAATTAGATGAAATGGTAGACAGAGTCCTCGACACAGGTGGAGGAGTCGACCATGTGACGTCCCCGCAAACCGTAACCTGTGGAAGTGATAGAAGAGTGATCGTGAGGTGGCTCACACACTGGTGAGCAGGTGACTGGAGTAAATCGACGAGTGCTGGATAATCAACCACCCCGGCTGCTATTTGAAGAAGAAAAATTAACACTGAAGGCAATTCTCCGTTCCCTCGCCGCGCTGCGTGGGTTAACGATGTACGCGTGATCGTGTCTTTGTGTCCTCGCGTGCGTGCGTTTATTCTGTCCGCACTTGTTTGTGTTGTCCCTGTCGCCCCGAACAATGCCGAGTTTCAAGTCATCCATGTACGTGTTTGTCCATGCATCTTTGTGCGTCCGTGCATGGACGACGTTCCGGGCAAGCAGATGACGCGTTCGCCCTCGGGGGCCACAGGGCCGGGCGGCGCAGAGTGGAGCGGCACCGGCGGCCGGAGAGAGACCTCTTCTTCTCTCCATTCATGGGCTTCCCCTTCAACCCTGGTGAGCCTCCTGCTCTCTCCCTCATCGCCACCCCCTCCGCAACACGTGGCAAATGAGTTCTAAGTGGAAGTCTGCTCTGCATCACGGATCCCGTGCGGTCAGACGTACCTGACCGGGACTCCGCGGTAAGAGCACAGAGCAGCGCAGCCGCTCCATTTGTGGTGGAGAATGCCCTCTGGAAGCGGACACCGCGGAGCTACCAAAGTGACCGTTGTTCCGTGCAGTAGAGGGTGGCACACAGTGTCCGAAATATTGAGAACCCTGTGGCCTCCGACCATCGGCACGCGGCCTCGTTGAGTGCAAAAACTTGGAAGAAACCTCAACAGCAGTCGTGAGGCTCGCCGAGGCTTCCCGGGTAAACCAGCGGAATAATGAATAATTATAGCACTTGGGGCTTGTGGGGAATCGCTACGACCCGGGTGCCCTGCAGCCGCCCGGTGAGCGGAGCGGCCAGCCAGGACGCCTCTGCACCGAACTCTCGGTGGGAAGCGGTGGTGGCACTGCGCGCTTCGTCCACGGTGCAGCCGTCGTCGACTTTTAATCCCCCCCCCTCCCACAGGCTTTGCCTCCTTCTCCTCGTTTGATGACTCGTTTGCCGACGTCGGGTTCCCCGCATTCTCCACGGCCACGTTCGGGGACGTGGGGGCTGGCATGGGCTCACACTTCCGCTCCGTCTCCACGACGACCAAGATGGTCAACGGCAAGAAGATCTCTACCAAGCGGTATGTGCCGCCAGTCCGCCGCTCGCCACGTCTCTCTCTCGCCCTGTCTCTCTTGTCTCCGTCTCTGTCTTTCCCACTGCTTCACTCTCTCTGTCTCCCTACGTCTCTCTGCATAATAACAATAATTATAATATACAGCCCTTTGTCCATCCAATTCTCTAGATGAAGACCTTTCTGTGCTGTGTCATCGGGGTTGTTTGACCATACTTCACCACACTGGCCAATGCAGGTCGCTGAAGGGGATCCAACGCTGGTTCAGATATCATTCGCCATCAACGTTAACCGTGATCAGGAATTGAATACCACGAGCATCTCACTACTTGAACATAACTAAGCCTAGACTTAAAGCTTTCGTGACTGCAAGAATTCATATTCTTTAGGCCTTTCGGTAAAGTCATGTAGAACAAAAACATTTACAATAAAAATTTACAATAATTATTGTAAATGTTTTTGTTCTACGTGACTTTACTGACAGACCCAAAGAATATAACAAAGCCTGTAGTGGTATCCTCCTGGGGTTGAGTGTCTCGAGCATAGCCGCTACGCCTGTCACTCGCAGAGATGCCCCCTTCCCCACATTTCCCCAAACGCCGCTCTGCGTAGCCCCCCCGGGGGCGCTTCTCCGAGCTCACCAAGTCACCTCCTGTGATGCATTTGGTGTAACTCGCATCTGATGGGATGTAACTCGGTAAACTCGACTTCTCTTGGTCCCACCTGGAGCTCCACGGTTCACCGGGACCCCTGCGCGTGGTGAGTGGTGCGCGTGGTGAGTGGTGCGCGTGGTGCATGATGCTTGGTGCTTGACGGCCGTGTCCCCTTCAGGATCGTGGAGAACGGGCAGGAGCGCGTGGAGGTGGAGGAGAACGGGCGGCTCAAGTCCGTGCAGATCGACGGCAAAGAGCAGCTGCACAAGCTGGAGTTTAAGAAGTGATGGCCGTGCAGAGGGGGGGATGGTGGGGGGGGGCTGCCGCTCGGCACCAAGGGCTCGTAACGCGGACTGAACCGTTCGACGCTCGTGCGCAACAAGCTGGGTTGGGGGGGGGGGCATCCGGACACGCGGACCCAGTTTAGTTTTTGGTTTTAGACGCACGTACTTCCCCCTCCCCCGCCCCACCACCTACCCTCTGTCCTCTGCCGCGTAACGCTGCGGCCGGCGTGAAGTCGACCAGGGATGGGGAGAGCCGCGTGCCGCTTGGGAGCCAAGCTGCGGCCGTGGTGGTACCGGCGGCCACTGTGACGGGACCCCCCTTCCCCCCCTTGAGCACTCTTTCTGTGTGTCCGCACGCCAGGCCGGCGCCCCCCCCAGCCCATTCTCCCCCTGCCGCAGCACGAAACGGTGCTCACACAAACCGTTGCCACGCACGCACGCGCACATACGCATGCACACGCACATACGCATGCACACGCACGCGCTTGCCTAACACCCCTGCCCCCCCAATCCCGACTCGCAGGGGGAAAAGCAATAAAGGGACGTTCAAGCGCACGTACGACCGGACGTTGGGTGAAAGTTCGAAAGTGATCGTTTTCTGAATACGTGCTCGCGTCCTTTTCCAGTTAACGTGGAACATTGGACCAACATTGGTCCAACGTTGGCCCAACGTTGGCATGTTTACCGGGTTGGCACTTCCGGCACACATCCGTTTCTGCCCCCACAGCGAGCAGACGACGAGCGTCCTTTGCCAAACCCGAGCTCCTACTACGTCGTGATTCTTTAGTGTTGTCGTGGAGGAGTAACACTTCTGTTTGATTTAAGCGATGCTTAACGCGTACAACGTAATTTATATTTTGTAATCTCGTGATAAGATTTGACCGAAGGGGGGTTGTTGTTGTTGCTGCGTACTTGCCGTTGTTTGGACTGGAAGTGTACGCACGCTCTCCTCTTGTCGGCGGTGCTGCACTGTGGCTGATGATGTTTTATAGCTGCACTGGTGTCGCCAGTCTCGCCGCGGGAGGGCGGCGGTGGTTGGAATCGCTCGGTCTTTGCTGTTGCGGCTCCGCTTTAGAATATTCCCACTTGCACATCGAGAAGGAATGCGTTTTGCTATCCGATGAAAACTACGAACCAATCGTCCCATTCCGGAGTGAGGTTGAACACTCCGTCCAGTGCTGCTGTTACAGCTGCCGAGCGGACACTGCGTGAGCGTGGCGAGCGTGGTGCCGTGGTGGTGGTGGGAGTGGTTCGCTCGCTCGCTCTCGCCAAGCGGTGGAGGCGCACGTTCTATGGTCGCAGCGGGAATTTGTTGTATCTGAAAACGTGATTTTTCAAGAAAAACCTTTGCCGCTACAAACACGATGTTACTTTTGTCTTGTTGGGGGTGCATATTGAGCCACCCCTCCTTACCCCATCCCCTCTTGTATTACTACCACGCGGCCGACACTGCACGCAAAGCTTGATTCGCCTTTTAATGCCAAAATGGGGAACTCTTCCGTTGGGACGCAGCAGCAGAAGCGCCGTGCGTGTTACGCGAGTCGCGCCGATCGCTGTTTCTCAGCCCGCATACACTCGGAAGTGGAAATCGGCGGCGTAGCCCCTGCGACGACCCAACGAAGTGGCTATTACAGAACTATTTCCTGAGGTCCGTCAAATTGACCACTGGTGGACGGAGGAGTAGCGGACGGCGCTTTACGGCGCGTGAGGTAGCGATGTACCCGTTACTTGGCTAACCGATGTTTGCAATTCTCAGAAGTGTAATTTACACGAATTCAGTGCATAGTAAAGTTACATGCAAATATTTGAACATTTTTATCTTGGGAGTTTCTTGGAAGATGATGTCGTGGTTGTGACCTGAATGGGGGCCGCTGTGCCCGGTGCTGCGTCTACCCAGACCGGACCACTCAAGATTTTGGGGGGGGGTGGTGGGTGTTTGGAAGTGTAACTCTCTTTGTTTACCATCTGTTGAGTGATACTGGTGTCTGATGAGCGACAGGATCGATGTTTCACTGCTGTATGTTTTGGATGTTTTATTTGTTGCATATTTTATAGAAACCCGTTAATAAATAAAGGACTTTCATTCGTACTGAGTCGTTCGCCGCCGCGTGATTTTGTTTTTAAATATCAAATCGTCAACTCCTCTGTATTGCCTCCCTGGGTAGAGCGAGATGAAAGGGGAGAGGATGGCGAGTAAGAGGAGTGGTAGATATCGACGTAACCATTGATAACTGCTTTGCATATTTGTCAACAATTTCTACGAAGAAGGGCCGTCGTTTGGCTTGAGGACAGCTGACGACTGCTCCTAGGTTCTTGTCAAAGTGCGCGCCCTGCCGCACGCCATCGACCAGGCGGCTACGTACGGTGCGAAAGAAGTTCTACATACACACAACGCTGCCTCGCACCGCGGTGCGATGCTGCACGCGCATGTTGCGTGTGTGTGTGTGGCTGAACGAGCCGTTACACAACGATTGGATTATCTTTGGAACATTTATGTTCGACGTTATGGGGAGGAGAGGGACAATGCCACAAAATACATTGTTGTACTGCACTATACCCCCACGTCTATGCTTCCCTTTACCTTCTCTCCACAGTCGAGATGCGGTTTGTTAAAAGACAACCTGTGAACCGGTAACCGTTTTCATAACCGAATAACGGTTTCCAAAGTCAGAAACCGGTAACCGTTTCCAGTAGCATTTTTAGGAACGAATGCGCCGCTTGGCGCGAGCGAACGCGCAGCCACTGGCACGCCTCGGCGGGTAGAGGCGCAGCCCCGCAATGGCTCCCTCACGCCGCCGCTGTCGGCAGAGAACGGGCCTCCACCAGAGGGAGCTATCGACTCTCGGGTCAGGACGTCTCGGAAGAGAAGGGCCTCCTCACACTTTACCCCCCCAGACTCACGCTTTATCCACCACACTCACACTTTAGATCGCGTCGATATAAATGTGTCGTTAAACCTGCCACCACCCGACACAGCTAATGGCGTGGCAAGGTTTGTAAAGTGAACAAAAGTGCCAATTCGTTACTAGTTCAGCACACCGGTGTGTTGGAGAGTAAACCCACAGCATGCACAACTCAAGTACGACGTTTCGCCGGTGTTTTCACGCAGCCTCATCAGGCCACAGCCAGAGTTGGTGGATAAATGATCACGTTTCGGTGTTAAATCGATGGCTAAATGTGATGTCGCCGCCTGTGAGCTCATCGTGTGCGAAGACGTGAACGAGTTCACGTGAACGAGCCACTGGGGGCGCTACCGTTCACAGCAACGTTCACAAGACGTCAAGATCCTGCAGTCGTGACTTTCCATCAAATCTGCCCTTGCAGCAGACATACACCGCAATCACACCCTGCGGAGTATAAGGCGCACTGCCTTTCCCGTTGTCATTGAAGCCGAGTTCGTGCTGCGTCGCTTCATGCGGCAGCGCCCCGCGGGTCAGCCGATCGCCAGAGTTCAATCCCCGCTCACTCACGTCCACGAACACCAGTGACGATTATCTTGAACTAGTTTTGGGCAACCCCGAAGTCGACTCAGCCGCAAAATCACCGAATGGGGAGACAAAGGCGACTGGGCGGAGTGCTGGCTGGCCACCCACACCCTCGTGCGCTGTGCTGGCCTCAATAGGTGCTCGCTAACACCACTCGCCCCGGCAGTCTGTGAACGCGAGACGTGGTATGTGATAACAACTCTGTGTCACTCGATTGAGACCGGGTTACCACGAGTTCTTAGTGCGTCTCGCTTTCCGGAGCGTCTTACGCGATCTGGAGAATGAGGCGCTTTCGCCCACGGCTCTCTGGCCATCAGAAGGTGAATGTGTGTGTGTGTGCGCTGCAGGAATCCAGCCCAGCGCTGTGGTGGCTGCGCTCAGCGGTGTCCGTGGCCAACGCGGCCTCGCGTATTTCACGCGGCGCCTGCGACACAAGGTGGCCCCATTCGCCAGCAAACAGCTCGTTTAGCAGGGACCGCCACATCGCTCTCTACGCCGAATGTCGGAGAGCCCTGCCCATGCCTGCTCGCCTCACACCTTCATATTCACCGTCGTGGCCGCTGTGGCTCTGCACGCCTGCTACCCAGCACTGCGGAGGCATTGAGGGTTGTCGGATCGCACAAATGTTGTGAAACTCCCTTCCCGTGGGCGTCGAGTCACCATAACCCTGCCTTGCCAGGACATTGTCAAACAGCAAATGTGGACGTGATCTGTCTCGTTTCGAGTGTTGTCCCTTCGCACGCGTGGGTTTCCTCCATGTACTCTGGGTATCCTCCCGCAACTAAACGCTCATAAATAGGCGTCGGCTCACTGCGTGTCTGTCGCTCCTCACACCTCTAAGTCGTTGTGCGGCGTGTTACAGATTGCAATCATTGTTCTTCAACAGGCTGATTGCAAAAGGCGAGATGGATGTGGCGTTCCAACGTGTATCTCGGAACAGCGTTTCGAACTCTTCCGACTGAGGTTAGGCACTGCTTAAAGAGACACAAGTCACGGACATAACCTGCAAAAGTTGATTTTAATACATTGACAATTCAGACATTTTGGAAGACAAATTGAGGGCACTTCTCTGTTGCTGCTGCCATGGCCTCAATTCCTCCCTTTGGCCGTCCACGCCGTTCAACTCTGCCACTGCTCAAATCTAGACTCATACCTCTTCTCTTTCACCTCTGAAACTGACCTCCTCCAGCCTCTCAGCCTGATAAGTAATGCAGATCTACCGCAATGCTTTCTCAAACCCGTCTCTGACCCGTAGCGCTCTGCCAATTCTATTCCTGCTCCAAAAAATAAACATCTCAAAGAATTTCCACTTCTTCCGTATCCTCCACACGTGCATACTTCACCTATTTCTACATCGACTGTAGATGCGTTCGCATCTCGATGCTTTGCTTTACCCTCTTCACGGGGCGTTCGTCACACCACTGCTGAACGAAGGCCTCCCCACGCCACCGTGTCGCTCCCGCGGGTTGTTCTACCATCCTTCGCCATGCCGATGGGTTGGTGAATGGCTGGGGGCTAAGACTGGTTCAGGTTTCACTCGTTCCTCGTTTTAACCGCGGCTGGGAATCAAACGCAGGCCAAGAGGTTCACGGTGAATTGTGCTTACCGCTCCACCACCGCCGCACCCGTACATCGCCTTATAAACCTAAATTTGTATTATAATTCAACACAGTCAAGAGAAAGCTGTTTCTATCTCAGCTGAGTGTGGTGACAGTAATCAAGTTCCTCTCTTTGGTGGACACTCCACGTTCCCGTGAGAGAAAAAAGTACACCCATAAGGAACCAGCACTGACCTCCTGCACCTTGGTATTCATCGGATTGACACTGGTTAAAGATGAATGGCTGAGTCGACCCCCAACCGGGATTTGACCTAATAATACAAAACCTTTATGAGCTTTCCCTCCCAGTGGGTTTATAATTGGCAGCTGGCCTCAAAGCTTCCACAATCCAGCTGTGAGTGCTTTTCATCATCACCTCAAACTTCCCTCTTATTCGTATTTTTGTAGCTATTTGTTATATTTTTTTATAAAATACTCATTTTAAACCCCTTTGCTGTTATCATTATTTAATTGCAAGTGTTTTTTATGGCACTGTTCTGTTGCTGTATTTTCTTAAATACCCAGATCACATCTTCCTCTCCTTGGCCTCTCACCAGACTATCAAGATGTTGGTTTAATGGACAGAGTGAGATGGCAGTGGTGGTACGGTGGATAGCGCACCGCATTTTGAACCCGGCGACCTGAGTCTGATTCCCGGCCACGACGAACATCAGTGGGGAGTGATAGTTGAACCGGTCCCAGGCTTCCTCTTTCACCAACCCCCCCAATTGACCAGCGTGGTGAGGTATGCTCAAACAACTTCGCTTGATTCAACATGGGGAGCCTTTGATCCAGCCGCAGATTGACAAATGGCTGAAATTATTAGTGCGATGACACGGCGCGAAACCTAAGTCACACATGAACGATGAGATAAATGTTTCAGACTATTCACGTACGAATCAAGTAATTTTGCTCAGAATGCTGCTGCCTTCTCCGAGAAAATGAAGGGGGGAGCCGTGCGCTCCTTCGCTCGACCACATTGTCACGAGTGGGCTCCATTGTGACAAGGATTCCACACAAATGCTTTCGTGTGCAACACTGCTCAGTGTTCGAACCGACCTATCGCCTGCCAATACCCACAACCGTAACCATCACCTTTAAAACACAATGGGCCAGCACAGAGCCCGTCTGGACTCTCTTTAAAACAAGCTTTGTCGTTGAAGTTAATTTATTTTCACATTCAGAGGCACAGAGCTGGAGCCTTGAAAAATAACCTAAGTCAATACGACCCCTTTGAAGGTAAATGGCATTTAAATGGCACGTCTTGCGGCATCTTCGCTTTGATTAGTTATCACCGCCGAATCGGTGAAAGTCGCTGACCCACGCGATCATCTCCACACTGTGCACTTGTGGAGTCTGACATGGGGCTGTGTCACAACCCCTTAAAGCAGGTCGCCAAACGAACGTCAGAAAGGCGATCGATGTTGTAAGACTGACCAAAAGTCAACGATATCACGAAACCAATTATGAAGTGTTGCACGGAGTGTTACACATGGCAAACTTACACATCCTTAACTGAGAGAGGAGTCTTAAAGTATGCCTGCAATTGAACATGGAGAGGCCCATAGGTGTCACTATTAAGAATGTTTAAATCGCAAAAAATAACGAAAGTTCATCAAAACATTACACAGTGAATTGACACAGACTCCTTGATACACACCTGAAATTGCTCCTAAATCGGCATAATTTCTTTTTCCCAGTAAGTCGCAGGATTTGTCTTTATCAGCTTCACTTTAACAAACTGGCGTTGATCGATGGAGTAACAATAAGGCTGACACAGGGTGGGGTGCAACAAATTGTTTATAGAGTTGAAAATCCCTGACTCTGGTAATAAAAATATATCAAAAGCGGATGTAGCCACCCTGATTCACTGCTCAAGCATTTGAACAAACCTACTGGCAGCCATCTTAGCTGTCGGCCAGGCAAGGTGTTCTAAGCACTTACATCAGATATGATTACTGTAGTTAGGGTAAGTGGTTTGGGTTAGGGTTATGGTGCTATTGACACGCT